GCCGACCGCTGAGCCGCCCGGAGTCCCCGGGCCGCCCACCGCCCCCCGCGTGGCTGCCACCTCCCGCCCCCGAGCGCCCCTCGGAGCCCCGGGCTCGCCTCCCCGCCCCCACTGCGCCCCCCAAAGAGACAAACTTTCCCACACGGGCGTCCCGCCGGCCCGCCCGCCGAGCCGGTCCGTCCTCGCGGGGCCGTCCACCTGGCTAGTCCACCGGGTGTCCGAGTTCTCCACGCCTGCCGCCGGGCGGAGCGGCCGGCCGGCCCGGCGTCGCGTCCCCCAAAGCGCGTGTGCCCTGGTCCTATTCTTTATCTTCGGGGCAGGAAGACCCAACTTACCTGGGGCGGGGGCGTGGGGGGGAAGAGGGCGGTCAGTTTCAGATGTTTGAGATGAAGATTTGATGGGACAGAAGTTTTACCATCTAGGACTTTAACCTCGCTATAATGAATGCAATTGAGATTACTTTTGTGGAATAGCTCTTTTATATTACGGGAGGCCTTAGGGCTTACTTGTTTATGGGAAAACACGTTGGTTGTTTAAAGTAAATACACTCAAATAACAGTAAAACTGGTTGAAAAACTAGTTAGCCCCTAAAACAGCAGTATTTTAGGTTCTTGTACGTTTTAGTGGAGTCTCAAATTTTAACTTGTACATTTGAAACATAATTCTCCTCTTCTGACTGTATTATTCATTCAAAGTGTATCGGTGTTGTGAATAATCGGTTTCACTTATTTGTATCTAGGGTCAGTTTCACTTCTTTTCTGTATCATTGAATTAAGTCTACAGAGTTTCTTTTGTAAAAGTTTAAAGCAAAGTGATTTGTTTCCTTACAAATAAGTAAAATCCAGGTTGTCTTTTTAAAGCTTGTGAGTTTTCAAATGGAAATGCAACAAGAATGTGGGTTGCATTGTTTATTAAGAAGCACAGGTATAACAGTTTCTTTTTGCATGTATTTATATTTTTACCACAATGTATGTGGAGTGCCATAATGTTCAAATAGCCATATGCTTATTCTTTTAAAAATGAAACAGAATAATGTATTCTAGCATTTGGTCACCACAAGGGAGAAATACCATATAAGGGACAGCATTTTAAGACTTTCAAGTAAAACATTGTACTTAAAGCAGGTACACTTAATGGAAACAATTGAGAAGTCACTTTGTCTCATTCCTCACACACATCCAACCTTGATTTTTGTACTCAGTTTTTTTCAAACATGCTTTTGTAACTTTTTGTTTGTCTGTCATCAGGAGGTGTTGAGAGAAATTTAAACTTTTCATTGAAGTAGCTGCTTAAGAGTCCTGAGATTTATTTCAGTAAATGTTTAGAAGCTTTACTGAGAGTAAAGAACATGTAACATCTGAATCCTGAGCCCTACGCAACATTGTTTGGCTTCCAGAAAGGTTTTCTCCAGTTTAATACCTGATGGTTTCAGGGTAAGAAGTCATTGGCTGAATATACATCTGAAGGAGAATGGATGTTTTTGGTTTTCCCAAATTATAATGCTATATGGTTATCAATGACTCCGTTGTATGTTTTCCTTGGGGTTTTTGTTTCTTAATTTAAGAGTTGTTTCCCCCCGCCCCACCCCGCGAACCCCGCAAAGGCAACTGGAGCAAGTAAAATGGTTTTATTTAGTCATTTGTTAATGATTGTCCTGAAGGGATGTTTATCCCAGAAAATCAAGGTTTTTGCTATTTAACATAAATAAGGCTGGCTTAAGCTCCACTGTTTTGGCTTTCTTCCGTTTCCTCCTCCTCTACTTCTTTTTCCCTTGTTGTCTTGTTCTTGCCTCCACACTGTTTTGTAATTTCTTTTGACTGTCAGATGAGGAAAGTATAAACTTTATTTGGATAATATGGCTCAGGCTTTCTTCCTGAATAAAGGTCCTGTGTTTTACCTAGATTGACTTAAAATTTCAGTTCAGTTTTTCTTTTTGTTTAAGATCTGATTAACATCTTCTTCTCTATTTCTATGTAAGATTCCAAAAATATTTAAGTTTGTACTTTTTTGGGAGGTGATAATCTTAATTTAAATCTTTAATTTAAAATCACAACAGAATTGAGGCTTTCAAAAAAACCTTATTGTGAGTAGACAGTGCATCATAACATTTGTTGAAGTGTCACATACATGGGTAATTATTTTACTGTGCTGAATATTTTTTTTTTTTTTTTTTTGGTTGCACCACGTGCCACGCAAGGTCTTAGTTCCCCAACCAGGAACTGAACCCTTGCCCCCTGCGGTGGGAGCACGGAGTCTCAACCACTGGACCGTCAGAGGAATCTCCCATAACTCATCCCTTATCCATCCCTGGATAGTGTGGCTTGCCTTCCTCATCATCTTCCCGGACCGGGGCACGAACCCGCGTCCCCTGCATCGGCAGGCGGACTCTCAACCACTGCGCCACCAGGGAAGCCCTGTGCTGAATATTTTTTAAAACAAGTTTTAAAGGCTATTCCTACTCCAGAATTTTTAAGGATTAAATGAGATACTTTATATAAAACAGCGAAAATTGGTGCTAGGGGCAAACACTGGTTACGTCCTGTCTTCACAACTGATTCATTTGTTCAACACGTGTGTGGAGAGCTTTCCTTGTGCCAGGTCAGGGCGTGTAAACAAGAACATGATGGAGAGCCCCAGGCAGGATGGCTGTGAGCGCTATGGTGGAAATCTGGAAATCAGCCCGAGGGTGCCCAGGGTGCCACCAGAGCTTCCAGGAGGGGTTCTCAGACTGTCTTGGGGGAGGGGACTATCAAGGAAAGTGTCCCAGAGGAAATGAATTCTAAACGGAGAAGCGGGGTGGGTGTTCACTGGCTGGAGGTGGAAGGGTGGAGGAGGTTTGGGGAAAGAAGAACAGCATGTGCAGAGCCTGGAGAGAGAAGGCAGGACAGGACCGGGGGCGCGGAGAGGTTCCTAGGGCGGGCAGTGTCCAGAGTCCGGGTGTCGGGATGCTGGGCCGGAGGCACTCGGGGCCGCCTGGAAGATGTCTGCAGAGCAGTGGCCTCTGCTAGATTTGGTTGCTGCTGGGCAATATGGGAAACGTTCCTAAAGTGCTGTGTTGTGGAGTTTGGTAGAGCCCAGCCGGGAATGTTGGGCTTGGGACCTTTTCCCAGTAGTGACTAGTTTGGGTAATAGTTGCTCCATTTCGTAGACCCAGTGGATTCTGTCCAGTCTCTCATAGGTCATTATGAAAATTAAGTAAGTTAGTGTGTGTTCAGTGGGTAACACAATGCCTAGCACGTAGAAAGTGCTCAGTTAGTGGTGGCCCTAAGATTTTAATAGGGTTCAGAGAGAAAATTATAATTAAGTACTTTTATAACATGTATTTGTGTTCCAGTTTGATGTAAGTAATGCCTTATCGACCTCATTTTAAAAAATCATATATGCGAAATAAATGAGCCTCTTCAAAATGTGTTTCAAAAATGAGACTTCCTATATTAAAAAAAAAGGTAATATATTTCAAACAATGTCATTTTGGACTTTAAGCTTCAAATTAAAGCTAGATTTTCTTTTCATGTAGTTGAGACTTTTCCTTGAGGAATTATATATGAATTGAAAATTGAGCCAAATGTGTTAGTGCATTTCACATTCTAGGTTTAAGCAAGGGAGAGAAAAAATATAGGTACTTGGTGAATGTATAGAGTTGGAAATTGAGATACCTGATGATAAAACGAAATATCAGATTTTCAGAGGGCATGAAATAGAATGACAAGCTTTAATCAAATACTTCACTGAAGATTTTATAATGAAAAATTGTTGGCATGTTCAGATTAGCACAACAGTAAATATCCCAAGGAAATTATTACAAAGTTAAAAAATAGTGGTGCTTTTGTACTGGGGTGATTTGTTGGAAAATTAACGTAGCCGTTTTTTATTGTTTTCAAAGATCTAATGGTAGAATAAGTAGGTTGCTCTTCTTACCTTATGACACAAATGTGTGCTCTTCTCATCTTTTACAGAGGTGAACAATGACCACAGGTGACAAAGCTTCAGAATCTTCAGACCCATCAACCTGTCAGAAGCAGCCTGGCAGTTCTGAGGCAGTCTCACCTGGAGACATGGAGGCAGGTTCTGCCAGCTGGGGTACTGTGTCTTCATTAAATGATGTTTCAAGTCACGCGCTTTCTTTAGGACCAGTACCTGGTGCTGTAGTTTATTCAAGTTCACCTGTACCTGAAAAATCAAAACCATCACCACCAAAGGATCAAGGTACTGCTTTCTAAAAGAATCACTACAAGAAACTCCTGTATAAATGCTGTCAGTGGGTTGGTAGTTTCAGAGAGGGGCTTATTTTGCAAGATACACTGCCACCTGAATGGCCAGCAGAGTTACATTATTTGGCAGGCTTCATTTTCCTCTGCTGCTTGTTCATGATTAACATATGTATCATAGCAAGGTAAGATTATTTTTAGTTACTATGAATTTATTTGTAGTTGAATTCCTAATTTTTTGAAGGATAAACTTTGTCTTGGTGAGAATTGAGATGGGCAAGCATTTCATTAACTTGTCAGTTAACTATAGTGCCCTAAGTAAATGTCTGCCTTTTAAAAATTTAAAGATTTTTTTTTAAGATGTTTTTAAAAATGGTTGCCTTTTGACAGATGAGCTCCACCCAACTTTGTTTTTGTTTGTTTAGTTTTTGCCAGTTAAAATCGTCTGTAGAAATAAAGCTCTTTGAAAGCGAGCAGATCCTGTAAATGTTACATTATGTATAAAGCCAGGTTAATGTGGTTATATTTGTTAAAACCCATCCTGATAAGTAAGACATTGACACTTTAGTTGGTACTCCGGAGACTTTCGGATTTGGAAGCTTTGAAACCTTAAGAGATTAGTTCCCACACAGAACATTGTTTGGTCTAGAATAATTTGGCTCTCACGTTGTTTTTTGTTTTGAGTCTTCCTAGTGCTGTGTGATATTGTGATGCGGAGGTGGGTGGTATGATTTGCTGAAGGTGTTTTGGGTGAGGGGACATTTACATCACAAATCAAACAACATAACTGAATGTTATACAGAGGGGTTTAAAGATCTTTATAAGTAGGGCATTCCCACAGGACATCCTCTCACAGACTCCAGCCTCCTGTCACCTTGCTGGGGCTCCTCTCTCTTCCTCAGGATTTAGTTTATATCATCCCACCTGGCCCTTTTGGGGGCCCTTGTCACGCTCTTTGAACATCCATTTCTCCTTTCCTGATTTTGATCTCCCTTCTTCAAGAAGCTGAAGCCTGCCTTTTTGCATGCTTAAACATTCAATATTGCTATTAAAATAGAGAACCATCTATTGGGCATCTCAATCTTTGGTAGTGCTGAGGAACTGCCAAACTTTTGAAAAAACAGTCTTGCTGTGGATGATTTTTGACCTTTCCTAAATAAATTGTTTTTGAGCCTCACCTGAGTATCATTAGCAATCTGTTTCTAAGTTTTAAAAATAGATAAGAAATTTTTAGACCATGTAGACTATACTTATGAGTATGTATAGTGATGCCTAACAGCCTGTTTCCCTGCTGGTAAATTTGGGATGACATCACTACCAACCTTTAGAATTGAGAGTATCCAACAGCTAGTGAGGACTGAGTAGGTGAGATGATGGTGAGGATGACATGCTGCTGGGGGTACAGAACGTGAGCATCCGTAGCACATATTACAGGGAATCGACTTTCCTGCACTTTTACTGTGTTGTACTTTATTTATTTTTAAAACTCTTTTAATGAAAAATTTTAAGTAGGTGCAGAAGAGAGAATAATTGAAATGAAGTCTCACGTGCCCCTCAGCTAGCTTTGATGTTTATCAGCTCCTGGCCAATTATACCTCCACCCACTTACTCCTCTCCCGACTCCCCATCATTTTAAAGCAAATCCAGGACTTTATACTTCATCTATAAATAGTTCAGTGTGTATATTTAAAGAATTCATGTCTGAAAATTAAAAGCTTTTTATATTAAAAATCCAGCCAATGTGCAGATTTCCCTGGTTGTCGTATAATTTTTTTTTTTTTTTTTTTTTTTTTTT